GAGCAAGTTGGCCAGGCACTGGGACCAGCGCTATGGTCCCATACCCAACCTCCCCTCTTCCTCCTGGCGAGAACGGGTTACACTGTGGAGCAGCCACCACAGCTGGGAGGGATTTCCCTTCCAAACCGTCACCTGACGGACACCCATCCATGGTTTTCAGAGATCCTGCTGCTCACCAAGCTCTTTTTAGCCCCTATTTCTTCACTTGTTCCCCTACTTTTCCTGCATCCCGGCCTTCCCCTGCGCTCACCGTGGCAGGCAGGAGCCACAGCTTGGGGGTCTGATGGACGAGGGGCGGTCTCCGCAAAGCACCAGCTGCCTTCACTTGCATGACACGTCAAGATCCCACAGCTGACCCCTAAATCCAGGGGTTAGGGACACTTTACAAGCAGCACAAGGAATTCGCCTGCGGTCGCACCAAAAGAGCCTGTGGCAACTGTGCCAAGCGACTAGGCCAGTTTAGCACATCCCTACTGCAGTTCCTCATTCCGTTCACTTAGGATTCCCCAAGGACAATTGCTGCTTTAAAATACTTAAATGAACAAACACCCCAGGTGTCTATAAATGCTTTTCTGTTAGATGTACTGTTTTTCACAGCAACAACGTAGCTGTGATTTATGTTATATATCCAAATAATCACATCTCTATATAGAAGCATGTATTTAGCTATAAGTACATCGATACACATGTAGGACAGGAGCTTTTGGGCTAAAGGAAGGCCAGGATACCTGTGGAACGTACGTGCAGAGCAAACCCTTCAAACCTACGGTGATTTAGCCTGATTCCCAGCTTTTCTGTGTTTCCAGAGTCTGGAGCGCTAGATTTGACTGACCCGAACTATTGCGGTGGCAGACGGAGCGGTGGGAAAGGAGACGCTGCTGTTGCGGTGCAAGTTGGTCACTGACTTTTGAAAATGTACTTGATGTCACAAAAACTGCATAATCCAGAGCGTTCCTACTTGTGTGTAACAAAAAGTGATTGAGTTTTTTAAAAATTTTTTACCCTTTAAGATGAACATTTAAAAAGTTCCCTCATAAAAACTGATGCTGAGAAAACACATAACAATTAAGGGCACCTCGAAAGAAGCTCTGCAACGGATCGGTCATCTGGCTTAGCGTCAGCTCAGCGACGTCTTTCAGGGTGCCCAGGTCAACTCGCCGGCTGCCTGTGTGCAACCCCCCGGGGCCTTGCGGCCTGGCTTTCTGCTGGCACCCGGCTTGGGAAGGCGCTTGGCCTTTCCCGGGCCGGCCCAGCCCAGTGTTTTTAAGGTGCAGCGCTCCCGGATGCGATGCTGTCTCTAAGGGTATGAATTACAGTTTCCCGGTAAATCACTGGTGAGTTGGGTGGCCAAAACCACTCTGGGGAAAGTAAAGGAGAAACCAGACCCAGTTGCAAAGCCCGTGAACTGCCTCTGTATTTTATCTTGATCGTGACTTTGTTGCTGATGCTGTTGCAGCCTGTCACTCCTTACGGAGCTTGGACAGAGCTCATCGCGTGGGCCCTACGCTATGGAAACCCGCGGAGTTGCTCCGCGCGGCTCCCCATAGGTGCCCGGCTGGCTTGAGGCCCGTCTCTGCACTGAGCCGGGGCAGGGGTCAAAGCCCGGCACCCGCCGAAGGGCTTCGTGGAGCCGGGGGCTGGGGGCCGGCGGCAGGAGCACTGGTTTACTCCCAAGACGCGCATGGAAGCAAATGGAGCAAGGGGGTGAGGCGAGGGGTTTTCTGGTCGCCCGCTGCAGTCAGTCACGCAACGCTTAGCTGGGGGGAAGGTGGCGGCCAGGGCAGGACCTGGGTGATCGCAAATGTGAGCCTCAGCCCTAAGGGCAACGAACTGGAGGCTGTGGGCTTGCAGCCTGGGCATTGCCAGGAAGGAAGGCCCGGATGTGTGCGTGGGTGGCAGGCCGGACCGCTGAAGTGGGAGAGCTGGGCCTGCCCCAGACACAACAACTTCTAGACACAATGACTTCCAGCCACATCTGGCCAAGCACGGTGGGAAAATGAGCTCAGGCATGTCCCTGAGAGGAATCTCTGAAGGGCTGCCTCCTGCCTACAGGGAGAAAACTCTCTCCAGGCAGATCGATGCAGCCAGGCCAACTCTTCCTGCAGCCAGAACAATGATGGCAAGGTCCTAAACCTTAACCAAGCCTGTGGGAGCTTGTGGGTTTCTCTGTGGGAACGCTAGTAGGGACTGAGCTAATGAGGAGCCTTTGTTTTAAGTACAAGGCCTGAGCTCTTGGAGCAGGAGGTCCTGGATGGGGCAGGAGGCCTACGCAGCTTTGGCGGAGCAGCAACCTGTCGCCTGCGCGAGTGTGGAGCTAATGTAAAGCAGTGAGCAAGACTGCGGCGTTCTTCGACACCACAAGCAGGATTTCCAGGAACCTTTGGCTAACCGGTGAAAAGCAGAGCCGCCTGGGAAGGCAACAGTGCCAGTACGCTACAGAGCAAGCAAGAAAACAGTGGCATCCCGATGCACAGTCGGCCGGCGCTAAGGGTGTATCATGGAATCACAGAATGGTTTGGGTTGGAAGGGCCCTTAAAGCCCATCCAGTTCCAACCCCCCTGCCATGGGCAGGGACACCTTCCACTAGACCAGGTTGCTCAAAGCCTCATCCAGCCTGGCCTTGAACACTTCCAGGGATGGGGCATCCACAGCTTCTCAGGGCAACCTGTTCCAGTGCTTCACCATCCTCTCCGGGAAGAATTTCTTCCTGATATCCAATCTAAACCTCCCCGCTTTCAATTTAAACCCATTACCCCTTGTCCTGTCACTACAGGCCCTTGTAAAAAGCCCCCCCCAGCTTCCTTGTAGCCCCTTCAGGTACTGGAAGGGGCTATAAGGTCTCCCCGGAGCCTTCTCTTCTCCAGGCTGAACAAGCCCAACTCTGCCAGCCAATACATTCCGTACGTATACATTTTGTCCTTGACACACATGGCTGCTCCTTTAGGATTAGACCAGTTATTGGGGATTTGTTAGCTATCCGTGATCCGAACCCCAGCCTTTCATCATCATCACGTTTGCCCAACTCCTGTTGACGTGAACAGGAGTTAAACATGGCTGTGCGTCAAGGGTAAGCGGGAAATGACGAGTGATGGTGGTCAGGAAGGTGCTCAGTAGTTCCGATTCCCCCACACGGTGCGATCGTACCTGCCCATGGCAAGGGTCGCAGTCTGAGAGGAGCCCCTGTGGCTAAGGGTCCCCCGCTTCCAACGCCCGCCGAGTCTCGGAGGAAGGTGCAGCTCCTTGAGGCTCCCTTCAATACACGTGGCCGGGATGTTGGCATCGCACCCACGGTCTTTTTCTTCCCGTTTGTCTGTGGAGTCGTTGCTGTAACTCCTGGCGAAAGGACACCCTAAAAACGCACTGCTACTTTTTAACCACTGAAACGAACGGTCACCGTGATTACAGCTACTGAGTAAAATTAGGACAGCGATAAAAGGTTAGACAATGACATTTAATGTTACTCCATTAATAGATTTTATCACTTTTTTTTTTTATCCTACCACAACAATGTGTATTTTCATATACATTATATTTAATAAAATGTATTGATATGGAATTAGGAAAGCATGGGTTTAGTACTATTTACATATTTTACTTGAAACAATTTTCTTAACAACATTGAAAAATAGAAACTTAAAGTTCTCTTGATCGTGTTTTCAGCCAGTTAGTGGTCAACAAATGCATGCCCAGGAAGTTACACTCCCTCTCCAATGCGGTCAGTTGAAAGTTTCTAACTAAAGTGTGTATCTCTGTTTCGTTTCAAAAAATACATAAGTATGTCTGTCATTTCTGATACAAAATTCTACACTATCTTCAATAAATAAATAATAAAGCGATTCTGAAAAGTATGAAATGTAAACTTTGTTGTCCCTCTAACATACTTTTTTTTTCTTTTTTTTTTTCTTTTTTTCCCCGTTGTTTGAAACATTACAGTGGTCTTGTAGGAAATTATAGCACACAGACACTTCCCGGCACAGTTTACACTTATTACCATACTGTATCTACCTATCCGTTATGAATATATCCTAATTTCCTAATGGAAACCAATAAGACTTGTCGTGCTAGAGAACACCGCCTATACAGGAAAGGTGGAAACCAGTACCGAAAGGACATGCAAGGAACACCAAAACCTAAGGATAGGCTCCACAAGAACGTTCACATGCTAACGAAACAGGCCGACACCTCCCGTTCGGAAAGAAAGTCCTTACAAAAATACCAGTGTATGCGTGATGGGTCAGGAACAACATGAATCTAAGCAGAACAAAGAGGAATTTTACTCCTGGGGGTCCTACCGTCTCCTGGCTCTGGACTCAGCGAAGCACTCGCTCGCGTGCCGGAGGGAAACGACGCAAGCGCGCGCTGAAGGCCGGGTGCTTTGCCACAGGGGGAAGGTTTGCTGGATGTGGGCCTACACGTGCGTATTCGTAGGGTTAAATGGACATAGGAGCCCTGGCATCCCCCCAGACGACAAGGCTTTCACTTTGGGGTTACCCGCCCTGCACCACGCTGTTTCTGGCAGCACCCACTCTGGCTGCCAAGCACCCCGCAATCGCCCCGGCTGGCGGCCAACCCCAGCGGGAGCTGCAGCACGCCGCCGCCCCGAAGGCGGGAACGCGGTACAACCCCATACCTGCCCACCACCGGCTGCTTTGGAAACCTGGCTCTGCGGGGCAGGAACCGGCTGCCTGAGCTAGAGCCGCAAGGTCTTTTCCCACCCCCACGGCAGGTGACGGCTCATCCATCCGCAGTCACACCCTCCAGCAGCGGCAGCGAAGCAGTGTCGCAGTGGGTAGAGCACAACATTCGGCGGGGCTCCACCTTCCAGCCTTCGCTCACCGGCCAGGCATTTACAGTCCTACACAAACCGGAAGGAGAACCCAGCGGGTGGGCCCTTCGGGAGTGCAGTTCACCTCTGCGCAGAAGGCCGGTACGGAATTTATTTGGGGCGGGAGGGGGCAACGTGAGCCATGACGTGGTATGTTAATAGAATCTCCTCTGTTTATAGATATAGGCTATTTATTTTCTAAGTCTTTTCAGTACCACCGTGAAGATCTTCCAGGACGATCTTACCGTGTAACTGCTCCTTCCATTCACGTTACACTTGCACACCGCTTCGCTGAGCAATAGGCACAGAATTCCTTAAGGGGGAAAACCCTGCAGAAAGCCTCCAAAACATACCCACGTTCCCTTCTTCGTGTAAATTAAAGAGTAGGGTAACTGGAGCAAGCACGGCGACCTGTGCGGTTTGCCGGCTTTTCAGACCGGAGCACAACGAACGACTAGGTTATTCCATAAACCCAGGACACTAACGTCAAGTTCCACATAGAGAAACCGAGGGAGATCTCCTCACTAACCTGGGATTCATTTTTTCAGTGAGGATTATCAAGGCACAAAGATGCTCCTGTTTGCGTTGATAACCCTCTTACGTGTGAAGGGCAAGCAGTAGTTTCATACCACACCAGGAAGGATTTTGTGACAGCTTCTGCAGACACCTATCGCAGTGAACTCAGACTGAATTAAAACATCGGTCCCTCTCCTTCTAAGGCTCATCGAACAACTGCAGGTCTAGTCGGACGACTATCTCTCCTGTTGGGACTTCATGCAGCAGGAGACACTTTGTTACTGGTCCCTTTGAACCCTGATCCTTCTTAATGTCCGCCACACGGATCTCTGTTCTGCCCAAAAAGTCTGAAATGCAAAAAGACAGCACGCTCAGAAACGACACAACTGTTTCACCTTGCAGTTAAACGCTAATTTGCAGGAGGAGCTAAGCTTCCATCTACACGCAGCAGAAGGGAAAGACAAGTCTTCAGCCTGCCTGTGCTTCCACAGCTGAAGGAGGCCAAAGGCTGTTTGCCTGCACAGAAGAGGATTTTGGCTGAGTCATATTAGACAGCAGCGTTAAAAATAAATGGTCCCATAAGCAGAAAAATCTGCTATGTAACACCCAGCTGCCAGGCTTCAGGAGCTTATTCATTTTATGGTAGGTTCGAAAAAAGGCCAAAGCCTGCGGCCCAGTTCAAACGGGGTGTGAAGCCCTCAGGAGATAACCGAGTTCAGGAGGGCATCACACGAGCAACCAGGTCAACAGGCCAACAACGGGATAGTGACAGTCCTATCCAAATACTTCCTGAGAGATTATGATTCCAAAACACACTCGTCAGTGCTCCATATGTTTACCCCAGGCTATGAAATAGGAAAGGGTTAGGAATCCTGCGTTCATTTCTGCCGCTGCTACTGCATATTACAGGAACTTGAAGACATCTCCCTTCCCCCTCATTGATCTGTCCGTTTGCAAACAGCACCCAGAGTTTTTTAAAGACTCAGCAGAATCACAAACCACACTTCACTTGTTGTCAAGTCGCACAAGAAAGGAAACCTGCCAAAAACCAGAGACAGCTTGACTCTATGCGCTGATAAACCCTGGGGAGCAAGGGTGAGTAGGCTCCCGGTATGCAAAGGGGTTCAGTATTGGGGCTGGAACTAGACGGCCTTCAGAGGTCCCTTCCAACCCAACCCATCCTCTGATTCTACCATTCACCTCAGCAGGCACATGCCTCTTCGAAACGGGAGACGTGAAAACACCCCCGGAAGGGCGGCAGCCCCCTACGTACCGTCTGGGGAGAACTGGTCCCTCTCAAACACCGTAATGCAGAGCACGTCCTGCTCGAGGTCTTTGATGAAGAACTGGCAGTTGGAGTTCCACTTTGGGTTGAGGGTGTCCTGTATCGTCTTGGTAATGTGGCACTGAGAGCCCATCGTCACCTCACAGTAGGGGTTACTCTTTCCTGGGAAGGTGGAAACAAAGAGGAAAGAGTAATCGCGGGTTTAGGTGGGTGAACATCCTCCTGAACGTCCTTTTGCTCCTACCACCAACGGGCGGGGGAAAGACTGCGGCCTCCCTGCCGCTACAATGGAGCAGGGACACAGTTCTGCAAGGCGCTGGGCACCTTCCACTCTTCCTTTCAGGGCTTTGTGGCTTGTGACCTCACACAATAGGCGGAAACTTTGTCTGAAACGAAGGCTCGGAGCAGGACAACTGACTACCACCGAACCGCACAAAATCGCTTCCGCATGTTACGTTCATTAAAATGGTTTCATTAAAGAAAAGCTGACAAAGAGGAGGGTCTTCTTCACAGAGCGTACGACAGGAAACCCAAGGCACTTACCATGGGACCTGCAAGGTTTTAGTTCAATGCCTTCAACAATATTCACCATCAACCTCCCGATGCCGGTCGCTCTCTGCGAGCGAACTGTGGTGAAACAGAAGGGGAGAGAGAAAAGCCGTTAGCGTATTTTTCTGCCCATGGCCATTTCCACAGAAGGTGAGATCCCTGCATCCCATGCTGTACCTAAGTAGGCTTTTTCCCTCTTCTTCTTCTCGGTCTCGATGTAAAGTTCTGAAGCAGCTTTGATCTTCTGAACCCAGGCAGTCCTTCAGAAGGGAAGGAAAAGCAAAGTTGCAAAATGCCATTTCCAATTCTCCCCACCTGGAGCAGACAAGAGTAACTCTGTCCCTCTTTCGCAACCAAGGCTCTGGCCCCGTCGCAGGCTCTGCTACACTGAAGCTGTGTGCCTGGAAGAGGTCCTACTGCAGTTTACAGCACCTGCAGAAATTTAACCAACCCAAACTAGCGTATCCCACCGCACAAAGAAAGCTCAAGAGGATCACAAGCGGGAGGGACTTGGTGAGAAGGCAAAAGGTACAGATAACAGGTTTGCTTTCACCAAGCTTTTTTCTCTCTTATAATACACAGACTTCCTGTAGCCAGATGATACAAGACAGCAGCTGTTGTGTTGCAGCAACAGCCGGTTTTCTTGATCCTAGAGGTTTTGTACCAAAATCCTCTGAGCCTCAGGACACATGAAGCCTAACTCAGGGAATACGCAGACGATGAACGACTGTGGTTCGCTACGGGCCCTTCTGGGAAATCATTTCCTACTTAAGAGACTGAGTGAAAAGACTGACAGGGAAAAAGTGTAGAAGGAGGAGTCCCATGGGACCCCAAGGGTTTAGAAGAATTGCTGTGACATACAAGGGAGCCTGAGACCAGAGTCAAGGCAAAATGAGACAATCTAGAAGGCGTGGATCCATTTCTGATCCCAAATTGAAGAGCTGCTGCTCTACAATAAGTAGCTGCAATGCTACTTACACAGATTTGGGTCTGAACACACACCTGTGTTCTGCACAGAAAGCTGTTTAGGAAAACAAAACAGGTCCTACTGCAGTTTACAGCACCTGCAGAAATTTAACCAACCCAAACTAGCGTATCCCACCGCACAAAGAAAGCTCAAGAGGATCACAAGCGGGAGGGACTTGGTGAGAAGGCAAAAGGTAAAGATAACAGGTTTCCTTTCACCCAAATTGAAGAGCTGCTGCTCTACAATAAGTAGCTGCAATGCTACTAACACAGATTTGGGTCTGAACACACACCTGTGTTCTGCACAGAAAGCTGTTTAGGAAAACAAAACACTTAAGGACAATCCTGTCTTCCAGCTCAGCCCTAAATGGTAAATGGCAGCTTCAGAAGTACACCAAGGCTTTCATCACAAAGGTCGTTTAAGATTAAATGGGCAAATTAATCGCTTGCTGACGGTAACGTTTTGTTTCTGTTGTTCTTAATGAAAAGCGAGTGAATGATGAAAACTGGGAGATACCTCACCTAAAATGCTGCATTTATTTAGTAAGCAATTCTGGCATAAAGGAAAGTCAAAGGGTGCATCCCATGTAAGTAAAGGCATGCCCAAACTGGGACAGCCGTTCCCACGGGTTGTCTCTCCAGTGGATAGAGAGAGTCAGGCAGCTCCAGAGGGTGTCCGGCACGTGACCACCTGGCTCCTTCCACTGCTGGCTCAGCGCAGTGTGCCTAAGTGTCTCTGTGCAGTTCCTCGAGCTAGGTAGGATGAGCACGGTGCCGTTCAGATGATCCCGAGGATCGCTGCGAGTGCTCTGACGCAGAACAGATGGTTGTTGCTACAGCCTGATCTGTGCAACAGCTCCCCAGCTGAAAAGGTTGTGCCAATTTTCATCACCAGGGATCTAACCACAGTGTGAGTTTACTCTGTGGCACAGAGGGACAGACGGCATCCCAAAGGACAACCGGGATCCATAAAAGTATGATCCTTTGGAAGAAAAACTATGTATAAACACTAATGAATAACACTGCCAGGCAGACAGGGAGCAAAGACGTTTTATAAATTTTTATGCATCGTAATCTTTAGGGGCCATACATTTGCAAACTGGGCTGATGCCACATCTTTTTTTTCTGGGCTTCCAACTTGCATTTTTTAACAAAAGTTATCTTGCAAGACCTTGCACGCGCACAGAGAAAGCCTTCCAAAAAAATGCTGCCTCCGTAAGCTTGCCAGAGATAGAAATCACTAGGTTTTGGGGTTGCCAGTCTTTTGACTGTTTGTCTGAACCAAACCAGGTTAACTGGTTCTAGAACTTCTTTCTAGTGGGGGGTGTCCCTGCCCGTGGCAGGGGGGTTGGAACTAGATGGTCTTTAAGGCCCCTTCCAACCCAAACCGCTCTGTGATGCTATGAAAACTAACTGGGTTTTCAAGTTCTAATTCTGACCTGTCCCTCAAACTCATACGGCCATACAAATGCTTGCGCTGGCACAAACAGATGTTAACAGGAGGTAGAATTGCATCTTTTGGCTTCACTATGCTAACATAAAACGTTGTCCTGTGTGTCAGCTGTTTGCCTTACTGGAATTTAGGAAACATCTTTCCTTCTCCCTCCTTTCCATATATTGGATATCGCCATAATCTCGAGGAGAAGGAATTCTCCACTCCTGCAAGACAAACTGATCGGAGACTGCTACGCACATCAAATAGGTTGGCACTAGACTTTTCAAATTCAGTACTACCATGGCCTGTGCAGGTACTTACCTTTCATTAATGCTTTCGGCCCGGAGTGTATAGACTCTATCAATGTGGGAGATATGGAAGATGGGCTCGTCTCCAGAAGGGTCCGTGGGTAATTTTACTAGTACCTCATTTAGAAAAATGGGCTGTAAAACATTAGGCAAAGCTGGAGTTGTACCGCACGATATCTAACAGATGCATTAAACACAGAGCAGTTTACAACCGATTTCTTTTGTGCCTCAGTATCTGCCCCCTTCTGCCTGCCTCCCCTCTTTCTTCAGCTATGTCATTTTTGGAGTTTTATTATCAAAGAGATAGGTGCCTCCAGAGCCTGGGAACACTGCTGTGGAAGTAAGAAAGCAGCTTCACAAAGCACAGCAATCTCTCCTTTCCCCCAGAGAGCAGCAAACACCACTCTCCCCCTCCCTCCCTGACAGACGTCACCTCTGTCGGAGAGGTTGTTTTAGCCAAACGCCAAAAGCCTCTTCTCTAATCTCGCTAAGGCAAACCACCAGCTTTCTCACCACCACTCCCTGGAATCCCCAGCACATGCCAAAGCTTTCAAACCTCTTCTAGATAAAGGCTATCGCCCACACATTTGGCACGGGAGCTGCTGCCCGCTACATGCACGTTAGTGTGTAACCGCCC